TTGCTCCGTGAGCACAACGTTGACGATGTTCATGACGAAGAGGTCGTAGGCATCGTTGAAGAAGCCGAGGCCTCGTACCAGATACTTGTTCATGGCTGCGTGCTTGCTTGATTCGTATCACTTGAGTCTGTTGCGCTGGTGCCGGTGAATTGCAAAATGAACTGACGGCTCCGATACGCATTATCCAGTCGACGTGGGGCGCCCTGCTCAAGAGTGACACCAAGCAGTTGTACTGATCTTCAGTAAGGGCTTAGTTTGGGTTCCGATTTTGCAAGTACGATTAGAGGATTTTCAGTCACGATCACCTCGTTCCGGACGTTCCTGTCCACTTCATCGGTCGCGAAAATACAGCTCCAGGAAGGAATGGCTACGTCTCCGATTCGGAAACGTCCGGACACTCGTCGAGCGTCGGTACTATTTTATAGAGACCTCACTCAGACTAACAATGTTGTTATTGAGACCTTCATTCGATTATCGAATAAAGAACCTCGCCACGTCGGGCGCCGTACTGCAACACTGCATGTAGCAAGCTACTGCTACTAGCAGCTTGCAAGTCGCTTCGCTGAGACGGCTCAATCGATTGTTGTTGTGACTCGGATCGGTCAAAGTGACGGGCGGTAGTAGGATGTGCTCACGCTTCAGATGCGTAACATGCTACCAGCGAATCTTGCTCTTGAAGTGCTGACAGCCCGTCTCATGCATCTGGGTCCGTTGCACTGCCGCGTGCATTGTCGAGAAGCAATATAGGGAGCTATAACATGCAGCACCGGCTTGCCGCCACTCAAAGGGAAACACCAACTCGTACGGCACACTACATGACTCTATGGTATCATTCACGAATTGGCTCGGGCGCTTCAACTTGCCCCAAAACAAGAAATCGCGACTACCCAAAACTACGTGAGAGCGGCCGCATTTTGGTAGTCACCTCTTTTCTGGCCAAGCGATGCGAATCTTTAGAGATTCAACGTCATAGTGATCACCGTACCATTGGAATCGGATCCCAAGTACTGGGACTTCCTGTTCCACTCACCGACTCCTTCATAGACTTACCTTGAGACTCCTGTACATCTATGATACATGCTGTACTTGCAATTTGCGAGCAGCAATTAACGGACAAGTTTTCTATATGCACCAACAATATCAAATCGCTCTGACCACCAAATATCCATGTATTGATAAATTCT